AGAGGGAAAGAGAGAAGAGAGAGAGAAGAGAGAAGAGAGAGAGAGAGAGACAGAGAGAGACAGAGAGAGACAGAGAGAGAGACAGAGAGAGAGACAGAGAGAGACAGAGAGAGACAGAGAGAGAGAGATTAAATGGAAAAGAATGTGTTGGTAAAAAGTCTTTATCTCAAAGACGTGAACAAATATTCATATAATGTTGAAGTATCGACTTTTTTTAAAAACTGTCGAAATGGATGACGTCCTTTGCGTTAAATCAAAATTAAAGGGAATAAAGAATGACAGTCAAATTGAAGTCAGTTGTTATTCCTAGCAATTTTAGCTTTCAGTTTTAGTCTTAATAAGAGTTTTATGGCACTTTCAACACAAATCGGTTGACACGCATTACTAACTATGAGAAAGTAATATACAAAGAAAGGAAAGAGTACAGGTAATTTTATTTTAAAGGATGTTTGTTGTGGGTGGCGTCGGTGGCCTAGTGGTTAGGCTCTCGGACTCGCAACCGTAAGGTCGTGGGTTCGAATCCCGTCAAGGGCCAGACGTTGTGTCCTTGGGAAAGGCACTTTACACGAAATTTCCTCACTTCACCCAAGTGGGAATGGGTACCTGGCTATAGACAGCGAAAGATCTTGTCAGTTTGTTAGTGTTTGAGCGCTTAATCGGTTGTTGGCACTGTATGCTTCCCGGGAAGCTGAGAATGTTTCGGAATGTTCTATGGTCTGCTGGGGTAATAATATAGTGCAAAGCGCATAGAGCCTGCTGTTGAGCGGGGATATGCGCTATACAAATGCTATCTATTATTATTATTATTTGTAACACCTCTACTAATCTTCGGCACTTATATAACCTTATTGTGTTGCAAGTGCCGTAAAAACACTTACTAAAACTGGTTGGTTGGTTGGTTGGTTCGTTGGTTGGCTGGTTGGTTGGTTGGTTGGTTGGTTGGTTGGTTGGTTGGTTTAGGGGAAAGGTGGAGGTGTTGGTGAGAGGGTAGGGGAGAGATGGATAGAGAACGAATGTGCAAGCACGAGGAGGCATTGATGCTGAGCTCAATATACGTGGTGAGCGTCATACATTGTGTACTGTGGTCGCCTTCTCAATCCTGAAAACCTTTGTAGTTCCATGAAATCACAACTTTATTGTTTCGCTCATATCACTTTTCCACCACTGTAAAAGTATACGTTAACGTTGAGAGTGAGTAAACTGGCAAGGTTAATTAATTGTTGCTTTTGGTAAATTCTCTTTATAGACATACGATGTATTTTTTGCTACCATTACACTCTCTGTTATTTTCACACTTCTATGAATCCAGGTTGGGTTGTTTTGTTTTGTTTTTCAAGACGAAGAAGATAAATGAAAGAGCTAACTGTCAAAGCAACGAAAAGAGCTGTTTTTGTAATCGAAAAACACTTCTGAGTGCGCCGTTGCCTTCCTTTGCCCCAGTGCATTAGGGGGAAATGACTGAACTCTGAGAGTCGTTTTCTATAGAATTTTCGTTTTTTGTATGAAAAAGACTTATAATCTACCAATATACGCTATTCTGATTCTATATTCATCAAAATAATTTATTTATGTTCCTATCTATTCGTAGGAATCATCCCATATTTGCACGCTTCATCATTTCAGATATGGAAAAGACAGGGTGGGTATGTAAAGGCACATCAACAATGCTCGCACTTTGGACTCATGAGAAAGGCTTTATACTCTTTTGGCCTAAAAGAGATTTCGTTCTTGCAGCTGAATTAATAGGGGG